GCTCTCGTTAGACGTTACGTAAAGCATCACAACTTTTGATGTTGTTAATTTTCTGATTTTTATTTCCGTACGGTTCTTGGTTCTTGTGTTTTCCTTCATATGAAGTAAGTTTGTTGCTTGGGGACAGAAACAGGTCTCTAGACCGTTGTTTAGGTGGCTATGATTAACGACTGGAGGCGGTCGACGAATGTGCACGTGTGTCAGCAACCAAGCAGCCGTACGAAACAATGATCGAGGTGACAGTCAATGCATTTCATGCTTGATTGACAAAAAATATTTTAAAAAATAGAATAAACTTCATTAGAATGGTAGCCATTAAAAATTTGACTGATTTTTGACCGTGACTAAATGAAGTGAAGGAAAATCACATCGGACGTCAAATCTGAACACAACGTTAAAAGCAATACACAAAACATATATGAACAATAAAATATTATCATCATAATTAAAATAATCTTCAGTGGCGAGTGTTTGCTCTCCGAACAACACAAATATTCAGTCGTTTGATCTTCGTGCAGAAGTTTCTGTTCAATGGTCGGGCAAGTTCGAGAGCAGTTGGTCGACTTGAGCGGAAGTAGTCGTCGAAACTTCATATGCAACGTATGGGGACCGACGCGGACGGCGCGAAATCACAAATGAACAAGAACCGAAAGGCGGAACGGAACTCACACAAGTCGCAGTCTCGTCGTCGTAGTGTCAAGGGTCAATGAGTGTGTCGCGTCAGGAACGAAAGAACTCGTCCTGGAACGGGTCGCTGTGCGTGAACATGTTCCTCACCCGCTCAGCCGATTTGTTTTGCAACGAGCAGGGGACACTGACAGCAGATGCCGGTGACGAATCGTCTATCCCGGGGTCGCCGCCCCTGTTGACTCTGGAACCAACCGGGAAGGTCAACAGCGACCTAGGGGGTACAGGCGGAGGAGGAAGTGAGGCGACGGAGGTGTGCGTCCTGTTCACCGGACGGTTCCGCCGACCACTGCTATCCAAAACACCGTTCGTCTCCACTGTTGCATCTCTCGACTCGCCGTCACCGCCACCACCGTTTGGCAAGAACTGCCACCCCTCGATATCGCAAGGATCGAACAGCATGTCCGAGGATCCACCGAACTTCAGCTCGTTCATGGACTTTTTGCGAGGACCCCTCAGATGTGCAAATGGATCTTTCTTTTCGGTCGCCTCACCTGTATTCAGCCGGTCGATGTTGCACAGGGTCGAAAAGGCGGCGTCG